AAATTATAAGCAGGTAACTTACTTTTTTTGCTTGTCTCGTTTTTATTTGACTGACCCTCATAGATTTTTCAACGTAATTCATTGGGTTTATCACGTAATTACAGGGTGAATTCTTCACGAAGCTCTGCGAGAAGCAAAAAATTAGTAAAATTAAAAGAAGAAAGATATATCAGCGTCGCAACAAAAAATAGAGAGAAGCGCCGTATAAAATTTGTTTTAGCCATTAACAATATTCGTTACGTCTTGTTGAGCAACAAAATGTCGTAAGAGTACCACAAATAATTAAGCATTGCATCGTAGACTTTCACGGCCGCATTCAATGTAAGGGAAATTTTCCGGGCTGGTAGTCTTCAATGTTTATATCATGGCCTATCAGTCCGGAAAATGTTTCTTACATTTTTATTCACAAATAAAATTGAGTATGATCGATGACTATAAATGTGAACAATTAGAAATACAATATATTTTAATTTGTAGCTAATTATCACAGGTTCTCAATTTACGTGTGTGTATTTCAATTAACGAACTAAAACGTTCTTAATTGGATGTGATGTATATTTGCATCACAAAGGGAAAACAAATATTCAAATAGATCAGTTCAGTTCAGTTCATTTCAGCATTGTGTTTCAGCTGAAACCCAAAATATTTGTGTAGTGAACTAGATGAATGGTTTTGATAAAACTAATAGCTAGATAAATGTAGCTCCACAATGTACAACTCTTCTATTGCTAGTAGTGGTAGAAGTAGTGCCAAGAGTATTTATATTTTGTTAGCAATGCAAAAAAATCGAATTCGCAGTTCGTTAACAGATGCTAATAATTTTCTATAACTTGAGAGCAAAAATGTCTAGATTTTCAAATGTTGGCAAACTCGTGGTTTTGTAATTTTAATTATTTATTTTTACTTTATAACTTGTATTCAAAATTAATCTAATTGTAGTTAAAATGTTGGGAAGAAATCCTGGAGTTGAAGAAAACGTGCGCAAATGCTACTTCTCCCTCATACGTTACATATAGTTTTTACTGTTCTTTGACCAAATAAATCAAATCAAAGCCGTGTGAAGGGCGACAAATGGATCAATTCTATAAATATTCGGCGTATTAGTTATTAACCACAGGTCAGCGGCTAATATAAAAATATTGTCCGAGAGAGACACGAACATATTGTGAGAGGTATTTTGGCATGAACAATTACGCGTTACCCAGTCTCAATGTAGTTTTATGTAAATTTCAAAGGCCAGAGCCTTGTCGTCAACTCAGAAATGCGTATCAACTGTGGTCTTCAGTGAAGTAAGGTTAGATGGTATCGTGTAAACAACACGATGTTCGTGTCGTGTTCTCGACTGTCACAATGGTTCTAGTAACGGCACATCATTTCTCTGACTAGCCTTAGAAATTAGCCACCAAGCAGCCTGATTATAGTTATCATATTTAACCTGCAATTCCTTGTCACGTAAAGTACTTCACCCAGCAATATCGCGTTGAATAAGGCGGACATCATCCAAAGTATGCATCGAAGCTGTTCCCACTTCGAACTTCATCTAATCATTTTTGATACTGTAGACTATAACCGGATAATACATGAATTTTCTAGAGCATAGATGAATCCATTAACCGTAGCAGGTACATACAATAATATATACGTATGTAAGTAACGTTAATTGAAGGGCGGTAGACGTGAGTGCCCAAAGAACATCATACGAGTTACTAGGTCGCTACTCTACAGGAAAGGCTACACTACTCTTGTGGTCGAGTTCAAGGGTGATTAGGTTGCAGATAAGGAGACAGAAGAATGCTCGATTTAAATAAGCCGATGACTAGTAAACAATGTATTTAAACAGACTTGGTGAAATGAAGTTCATAGATTAGGAATACACCGAGTTTATTCCCCAAGATCACATACAAATTTCAATGAAGAAGTCTACACTGGTAGTGAACGCCATTCAATTCTTTCTTAGAAACTACTATACACTCTACCCCAACTTCTGTTTACAAATAAAGGGTGGAGAGGATAAGCGTCGCCGATGGCGCATTCGCGCGTTGGGTGGCCAATGGTCAGCGCCAGAGAGCCCTCGATATTACAAAGGATAGGAAGAACCACTATAAACCTCGGAATTATGTGACGAAATGATGTTAGGATACGTCAAAGGGGCACGCGTCAGTGTTTGAAATACCCTGTGCACTAACTGACTGTGGAATGGGAACGGAGATTCAAGTTACAGGTAATCGGTGCCACGGAAGGTACTTTTTCCTCAGATGTAAAGAAATATGTAAGCTCTCTGTCGCTTAGAAGTACGTTCTGTATTACATAGTGTCACTAAGTTGGGGTATAACTTCTGTAACGTACATGAGTAGTATGTTGTTGTGTCGTGATGAATCAACATTACAGAATCTCAGATCTATGTGTGCATTTATTTGTATATTATGTACAAGGATAATTTGATTTTTTGTACAGAGCATACATTATTTTCATCAAGTTTTTTTTGGCGGAAAACAGATGATAAATCTAAATAACAAGCATTTACTTGCCGCAACTGCTTTCTTGGGTACGCGGCCCCATGGTAATCGGTTTACAGTCGTCAGGCGGCACCGTTTCTTATGAAAGGATGAGAGAGCTATATGAGAGCGTAAGCTACCGCGCCCGGAGTCAGTCTTTACTTGGCTGTCCGGGTGACGCCGCGTCCATGGAGAAGGTGCCGACGTTTCGGTCGCCATTCTGCGACCTTCCATTACGCCCTGAGGAAGATAGCAGTATGGCGACCGAAACGTCGGCAGCTTCGCCATGGACGCCGCGGGCGACACCCGGACAGCCAAGTACATACTGAGGGAGTTATAGTCTGAGAGGATGCAATGTGGCGCCTGTCGGAATCCAATTCGCAGGCCGACTGCTCTGTCAATGATGTTCCTAGTCCCTTTGAAGAGAATCCCCCACCCTCAGGCTCTTCAACGGCCGCGTTCAATTCTTCCCTTCTGTTCCCATTCATCTCCATCGTCATCACCTCTCCTCTCATTTTCCTTAATGTGGACTGCGACGCTGTTACAAGCACGTCCCGACCGTTGCCCCTCATGACTAGTGAGAAGAGCCCTTTACTTTTAATGAAATGCACAGCTACACTTCAGAATAAATTATTGGAACTTCTAGGGAGTCGAATATGATAACTTTTTGCTAATGAAGATGTGGTAGGAAATTACATGTATTAAAATAACACTATCACATTTGATCCCCATTACTAGGTACTGGTTTGTACGGATGGCGAACTGATATTCAGCAAAGAGATTTTGAGCACCTGCTCAACAATAGTGAAAGATGAGTCACATACCAATTGGGAGAAACTAACGCATGCGTAACATTGTTAAATGAGATTTCACCAATTGTTCCTTTGCAAAAAACGATCATCTCTGATCTCTCTACATGCCCTGTAAGTTGGTAACACTTATTGTGAGATATCTGAAGACATATACATTGGATAGATATAAACTGTATTCTACAATTGGCTATATGTGGCCCGGTGTCAGAAATAAATGAGCAAACAAAACACTGATGCTGAAATCATTAGGTATTCAATATTTTTCAGCATTTTCGAAACATTTTTGAATTTTTTCGCTAGAATTCCTTGGTAATCATATCATTCTCTCGGCCTAGTCCCTAATCCCCCGCTTATGAACCGGAAGGCTTCTGAAAAGCAACTGCGCAAATTCAGATGTGTGCGTGCGCTGGGGAGGACACACGCATGGGCGCACGCTATCGCACGCACACGCACGTGCAAACGCATATATCGTGTTAATGCAAATTTTGCCAAGAGATACAACCTGGATTTAGGCAACATGCGGCAAAATATCATACATACTGGATACGCAGTAAGCTAATACACCATATATTACATTATTTCGTTCCAGCATCCTCTCATCTTTGCACTCAGTGTATATTACTATTAATACGGCGCAGCGCACAAGCGAGTTGCAAATAATGCAACATTTGAGAGAAGGCGATGAAAAGTGTGTATTTATGATCATTGTACTCTCGTATGACATGTGAATCCGCGTCCTTTCCTGCTTGTTAGATTATTTTAATGCACGGAAATAGTGCAGACCTCTAGAAATGTGGTTTCAATGATTAAACGATGTAAAACATGCTTTTATATTTTTGATTGTTTCTCATATATTTGTAACTGAATAATTAATGAGATCAGAGTGTGTAAAAAGAAAACAATTGAAAATATTAAATATTTATTATCTCATTTTAATCTGAACTTTCCATAAACACTATGGGAGAAACCCACAGAACAAATAATGGATGAGGAAACTGAAGATGGAACTATGTTCTGATATTGTAAAATACCCTATTGCGTCATTTAATAGTTATTTTACAGAAGGTACAAATATAATAATAATATAATATAATAATATAATAATATAATAATAATATTAATAATACATAATAAGTAAGAATACCTTCTTTGACTTCCTCTGGTTATAATTGTGACTGTCCCACAGTACGTGACAACTCTCACTTACTTGATTACTTTCCTTACCTTACACCTTTATAATACGGCTAATCTTGTTTTACTAGTTGATCTCTCTTTCCAAGTGCACGAGTGAGTACATTGGCAACACTATTATGACGCTGCAAGTATTCAGTTTGTGCCAAAGGTGGACAACCACTGCATATTCGTTGAACATATTCATTGCTAGTTTTACATAATCAGCACTACAATCAACATTAATGGGGGAGTACACAAAAGGTCTTAAGGACGCTGTATGAGGAATCTCTTCAATGTACCAACTCCATATTTTTATACAGACCAGTTGCGAGGAGCACGAATGCTCCGTATTTCTTGAGAAGTACAGGATTAATAAAGTAGTGTAACAATAATACCCATAATAAACAGAAGGAGGGCGAAGGAATGGATGGCGAGAGCGAGAGGTGGTGAGGGCGAGGGCGAGGGCGAGGGCGAGGAGGAACGGACGCGCTGCCGAGGCGCGGGCAGCGGGGGGACTCACCGGCAGGTGGCGCCGTTCTGGCAGATGTGGCGGCCGGGCTGGCAGAGCGGGCCGCGTCCGCAGTCCTCGCCCGAGAAGCCCTTGAAGCACGCGCACTGGTAGTGCCTGAGGACACCAACGCATCGCACCAATCACACACGAGAATTTTTGAAGACCATACCTCAGAAAACGCTAACGTCAAATGCATGACACTTTTGTCCAGAGAGAACTTTGCTCTATTGCTTAGTAACAATACAAAGAACTATTTTCAGCATAACCAAATTCAGCATTTCCTCTGTCGATGAAGGGAAAATAAGAAAATAAGAGAAAGAATGAAAATAAAAAAGAAGAAAGGGAAAGAAACAATGGAGAAGGGGGGAATTTGTAGAAAGGGATAAAATAGAAAGAGGCGAAGAAGAAGTAGAAGAAGAAGAAGAAGAAGAAGAAGAAAGAGACGACAGAGAAAGAAATGACGGACAAGAGTTAAAGAGATAATAACAAGTAATATACTGTGCCAAAATAGCGCATTTTTGGCAGAAAAAACTCTTGTTACAGAGCCCTAGTTAGTAACTAGTGAATAATCAGTTGCAAAATTACAAAAAAAATTCCTTGAACATTGTGGAGTAAAAAGAATCCGGGTTTTATAGGTCCTCCCTTATACCCTAAAAAATTTGACGACACAACGTAGCTCCATCTCAGTCAGTCTGGTCTCCGTCTGTCTGTCTGTCTCTGTTCTGGAATTTCATTTTATCTCAATAGGAATGATTAAATTTGGGTGCACAACGATTAAGCCCGAATGCAAAAACCCCACACCAAAGAATCTTTCTATAGATGAAATGAAATAAAACTGCCCATCTCATGCGAGTTTATGAACAAAAGTCAACATTCCGCCAAAGGCTTTGCAAAATTCCCTTTGAGGAGGCCAAATGTTCCCATCCAAAAGCCGATTATGTTGTTAAAACACCCTTTTCAAAAAACATTTCGTAGCATTCACATCACCAAAGAAATAAACCATCGGAATAAAGACAAATTAATTACCTTCTCTTGTTACCTGCATACACCCATCGTGTAACAATTTCGCTTTACCACCAGTGTGCGAGAAATCTAAATAGAAAAAAAATATATAAACCCCTCTTTCAAGGGCAACTTGTAATCACGGGTGGGCGCCCGCGACACAAAAAGCCAGATTCCTTCGTTTTTAATTCTCATCTCGGGCTCGAAAATAAATAAAAACGCGAAATTTTCATTTCACATAAAAGACAACCGTTCAGGGGCGTACAAGAAGTGGCTTTGCGTTTTGCTTTAAAGATGCCGTTCTGAGAGGTACTGTTTAATTTAGTTGATCTGACGCTCGACAAATTAAAAAAATCGTGACAAATGAAGTAGTGACAACTTGAACGCAGTTCTGAAAGTTTCTTTCAGATGATAATCAGAATCGAAAATGAAAAGTTTCGTATTGTAGCATATAATCCAAAAATAATCACGTGATTACACTGAAAGTTGAAAATTATCGCTTTTGTAATGCTTTTGATCACCAAAGTATTCTTTCTTTCAAGTATGTTAATGAAGCTTTCCATGTTTCCTCAATTAGTACACTTTTCTTTTGTCTATCATCTGGTACATACTTACATAAATATTATCAAAATACCTCAAATGAAGTTAAGTTCGTCAATAATTTAATTTTACCAACCAAGATGGCAGATTATTAACTTCATCAGCACCAGATAATTTTTACTATTAATTTCTCGGAATATTAATGAAAGCATTAAAGTAATTTTAATGCAAGTCATAAAAATATTTACAATGGCCATTAATTCAATAATGAAATAAAACTGTTTAAGATGTGAACGTTTAATATACAAACTTAATATTTTGTGTACTATCTGTGCTGAGAGATGTGCAAAATAGAAACGTTCTTTGGAATCTGAATTGACGAAAACTGACGATTTGTGGAATGAAAAAGATTTGAGAAAAGTTTGCGAATTTAATAAGGGTTAAATAGTTACTAATTTAATATACAAAGGATTCTGTATTGAACTTTGAGTTATTTTCTTTTTAAAAGAAATGTGTTAAATAAAGGAATAGTTGACAGTGGTTTGTAGAGAGTTGCATTCAAAACTATCAGAAAAGTAGCTCATTGTTTTATTCTTTTACTGAACGACACTTGTTCACTTCAGGAATGTTCTGTTGAAAGCGTCCTGTAATGAATTTTTTTGACTTATCACCATATAACTGCTGCCCACTATGAACAAAGGAGCCTTATATTATATTAAAATTTCGTTTCATTGTTGGTTAACCAGTTACAGATCTCGCTTGCCAACACATAGAGCGTTTTACTTGTGCCAAAGGCCATGCTTACATCTAGCTATGGAAGAAACTATTATCAGAAAGCCACATAGAAATGGTTGCATGTCAAAACATGTTGAGTTACATTTCAATATATTCAAAACACGTTCTAATCAATTGATATTTTATTTGAAACTATTTATATTAAAGGTAGTTGAACAATTTATTTAAGAGTGTTTTGACGGAAATTTCCTCTTATTTCAGAAAAGAACGAAAGAAGCGCGTTTTCTGTGACACTTCTAACCCCTCTCCAATTACAAAATTCCCTACACTCTTTCACACATTTATTTTTCGATTTCAATTGAAACACGTTAAAAGTTGCGGCGCTTGCTCCTAATATATCGAGAGGAGTTCTCATTATTTCCAAATTATTTTCCATTTAAAGATTAATTAAATCGATAGAACCTGATATTTTAGTTACTATTAAAGAAACCAAGAACAATGACCAACGATCGTGCAAACAGAACAAATGAGCGAGTGATACCCATTGCACATTTCGTGACTATGATATTATTTAATCACAGGAAAACATTAAACATTAAAAAGGATCTCAAATAAAATATTGAACAGCATACGGCCTTTTTATGACTCGAGACTCGATAGAATTTCCCTTCATGGCGAGACAGGTCAACTCTCCTGTCTCGTCATAAAAAAGTTTATTTTCTAGCTTTCGGATGTAAATTACTACCGTTTTTTTTGAGATGGGACTGTTGTGAAGAAGACAGGCAGCAAGAGAGTGGACGTTACAGCTCAGTACACGTGTGTGGATGAACTTGCAGAACAAGATGAAAAATTTATTTAGAGGAGGGAAGATCTACACAATATGGATCCTGGTGTTTCCGGTGGAGGCTAGGAGCTGAGTTTCGAACACTCACCTTTAAAATATTTAAAGAAAGAGCAAACGTTGATGCGGTTGAGAATTTATGAAAAATATATCTGTTGTGCATGAAGTACGTAAGTAATCGGTTCAAATAATTAAATCAATGAAAAAATCAGGATTAAATTAATTTCTTCTCTGAATATCAACGTTTTTATGTTTGTAATCTATTTATTTATTTAATTCATAAACAATATATTTATCTGCAAGTAAAAATACTGTTATTTTCTAATGCAATAAACGTCGCATTCCAGATAAAAAACAAAATTAATAATGCTTCGTCCTTTAATCTTGCTTTAAGATCCATACCTGTATTATAATGTATTTCTGCGATATAATAAAATAATCAAATAATTTCTTATGTTAGATATTGTCAATTTGGAATTTGTTCTCTTTCATAATACCCGACGCACTAAGCAAATGAAGTATATCGTGTTGGTATGTCTCAATTAACTTATAGAAGTTAGGTTCGATTTTGTAAAATTAGCCTAGGTAAAATGTATTATACGATATTTTAAGATTATTTAGATCCTCATTTTTGTAGACTGATGGCATTGGCTCTATACTTTCTGTAATGTAACATGATTTAAACATTTTCATCCATCCCCTGCAAAAATACAAATCCAACAACAACTACACGTTTTCATCCGAAATTATGCGGAGAATCTCATTACCATAATATATATATGAAAAATAAAAATAATTGTAAAAGCATAACATCTTCAATGGTCGTGTGCTGTAACTATTCGTAATATATGTTCTGCGAGGGGTTTCATGAAAAAGAAGTGCTATTATCTTTCAAATGCTGATGTGAGGAATTAAATCCCGGACAGGCCATGAGGGATTGTGCTACCTAAAGCACCGTTGCGTTAGGATTTCACTAAGTACTCCAATTCTGCCTGCCATTCATCACGTCAGATCTCCCTCTTCGTTAACCTTCCCATACAAGCCCTTGCATTTACATTCCTGAAGAGGAAGTCGACACAATAATACCATTTTCATTATCATAGCATATCACGCCACCACAGTGAAAAAAATATGTATTCAAGACTTTCATTAGAACATTATTTTTAAATATTTATCTAGTAAAAGATATTAAAGCACCTTAAGTGAAAATATTCCATGATATAAAAAAATTCAGATGGTCAAAATAAAGGAACTTTACACTATACCGCTAAGGTACTTCGAAGTTTGCCTGGCTATCAGTGACTCCAGTCGGACTTTATTCACATGTCTAGCAGGGATACGAGCCTACTGTTTTAAATTTAGGGCCCGCGTAAGGGCAAAATTTACATCATGTGACAAGCGATTTTGGAGTTTAAAGCTAACCGCGTATGCGGCATGCCACTTCTCGCGCATTAGGATTGTCTACCCACGGGCGGAGTTCGTCTAAAATACGAAACCGCTCGCAAAAGATAGAATTTAATCAGATCTTCGTTAATCTCGCGCAGACATTCTCTCGCAGTAATCTCATGAAAAGGCGTTCAAGACTATCCTAGTCTCGACTTAGGATGCGTAGTACATTATCGTAGTTAGGACAGTTATAAAACATATCTCCTACTTCTACAGTGTAAAAAACAGCTCCCAATACGGATCAACTTTTCGGCTCGTAAAATATGCGTTTTAAGGTTCTTCTGATCAGTAACTTATGCACATTTGCACTGATGTAAGGTCTTTAATTACTGTTGTCAAAGATGGTTAGTGATTCCAAGAACGGTGGACAGCATTGATTGGATTATTTGAGGACCGATTTATTCCATTTTGAAAAGGAATTGGTATGCGCGTATTCCCGTTAGTTTTTTTCCTGCAAGAAGCGTCGCGCCTTTTATGCCTCGCGCAGGTTACTAGTGCTACTCTTTCAGTTCATTTCATTCTTTTTCAGTCTATAGAATAATTTAACAATTTATCACGTTCTTGATCATTAGGAAAATTATTAGGAAAAAATTAATTTGAATTTTTGGGGTTTTCCAAAACAAAAAGGAGATGCCAAGGGGTTACTAAGCTGATGATATTCAGAAGAAAAAGCGATAATCAAAATAAATTTTAAGAAGGACGAACCTGTTTGAGACTCGCGTACTCGGCCTCCATGACGCTAGTTGTGTTTTTATAGCAGTGATTCAGAGAGAAGTTTTATAGCTGAAATCAAGATTACGAGTTCTGTAAATACAGCATGGTTAGCAAATTTGCAAAAATCTGTCAAATTATTTTTTTTTTTTTTTTTTTTTTTTTTTTGCCAGTTATAACGCCTTTTTGTGGTAATGTATTGACTGCTGAACTTAAATCTGAGGATTTATTGTATGTGAGGAAAGAACCACAAATAAGCATATAACTTCATGTAAAAATATGCTTGGAAACGGAAACCATGATTAAACAACCAATTAATGAAAAGCAAAATTGCACGGGACACGTGACATTAATTAATAGTAACTAATAAAATTTTATTAAAGATAATGTAAATACGTATATTTACAATAAAAAATTGAAGACATTTTAAATTATTTTGTCCTGTTATTGTAAACGATTTCCTCTCATCCTCCGGTTGACATATTAGCGTGGCCACACGAATATTTGCTAACGAACCACAGCACAAGTTATAAATATTAACTTGCAAACGCTCTTGCACCGGTAGAATCGCGGACAGTCTTCATCGCATTCCGAAATATTTCCGCAAAAGGAACAAAAACGCTCCAGCTCAAGCGCGCAGACGGGGAAAGGTGGCGCGCTTTCATGACGCGAAGCAGAAGCTGTGGAGGGAGGAGGGGAGGAGGAGGGGAGAGAGGCGAAGGGAGATCTTTCTTAATTAACCACCGAGACGCCGTGTTCGCCACGTGGTTTTCCGCTGTAATTTGTCCGTAATTAAATTCTCTGTGTCACCGGAATAAAGGAGGGCAATACTCCAGGTCCTCGAGACACGCGCGGCTTTGTCTCGAGAAAGGCGAGGGCTGGGCACTGGACGAGAGAGGTGAAGAGAGAGAAGCGAAAGAGAGAGAGAGAGAGATGCGCGGAAGGCGAGGCGGACAAGAGCAAGGTGAGGCGACAAGGGGCAAGGTTGAGATGTGGCAGGGCGGTGTGGACAAGACGCCAGTAGCGGTGGGGCAATCGGTCGGGGAGGTGAGGTGGGGGTGAGGACGGGTGAGGCTGGGGACATGAAGGTGAATTGGGATGGCGATGCGGGGCGAGTGGTAGTTGCAGGTGTGGAAGTGCAGAGGGGCAATGTGGGAGAAACACCGGATCACGATTGAGGAGGTGGAAAAGCGGCAGGCGTGCAGGCGTGACCGTGGTTGGGTTGGGCAAATATATGCTGTGGCGGGAGGGGAAAGATGGGCGACGGTGAATAATGACCAAATGTTACGGGGCGAGGGAACATTAGAGTCGGCAGAGAGTGGGTCGGTCGAGGCTGGGTGACATGAGGAAGAAACATGGCAGGGCAATGCGGGGTGCGGAGGAAGAGAGTGTGCCACGCGAGGCGGACGGTGCAGGTAAGCAGGATAACTGAGGAAGTGAGGTGCGGCAAGGCCGGTTTGCGGTGTGAAGTGAGACAGAGGACATAATGGAACGTAGGTGTGGTCAGGGAAATGCGGGCGAGGATGGAGTGTGTTGTGTTGCCAGAAGGTATAAAGAGGGATTAAAGTAGGGCGAAGCAGTGGCCTAAAGGAAGTGTAGGCTAGACAGGGAGTGGTGGGACGAGGTCGGGATGGAGTGTGTAGCAGTAATGGAGAGGTGGGGTTAAGTGGAAACGAGGTAGGGGACGAGGACGAAGCCATGCAGGGCCATTCGAGGTGAGGGGTGGGATACGGCAGGCGAGGGGGGTACGGTGAAGTGTTGACAGGCAGACGCCAGGACGAGGCAGGGCGATGCCAAAGTTGAGATGGGGTGTGGTAGGCTGAAAGGATGCGAGGCGCGTGGCTGGGGGGGCTTGGGGGGGGGGGGGAACGAGTTGTTGAGAGGCGGGGCGACTTGAAGTCACGTGGTGCCCAGCAGGCCAATGCGAGGCGAGACGAGGCACGACAAGACAAGGTAGGATGTGGCGAGGTCAAAGTGTCCAGATGAAGCGGGGCGAGAGATGCAATGTGAGAAGAAGCGTGATGAGTGACGGGGGCGGAGGAGGTGAAGTCGGGAGTAAGAGAAGACAAGTCTGGTGGGAACGGGAAGTCAGGGAGCGGGAATTGGAGACGCCTTGAAAGGGGAAAGAAAGGGGCAGGAGGTGGGGAGGGGAAGTATCACATTCTTCTATGATTCAACCTCTTTCTTGTTTCCTCCTCGTAAAATTCTTCATGCCAAGTCCATTTTGTCTTGCCCTATCACTCCTTCCATTACTATACACCTGCACCGTTTTTTTCGCTACTGCAAAACCCTTTCCTCTGCTCTCGTCTACTTCACGTTTTTTCTCTTTACCCTCTAACTCATCTTTTCGCCATTTTCCATTCGCCTTCCCTTTCTCTTTTATAACCGCTCTGTCGTGTATGCGTTGTTTTCTTTATTGTTATTTTGCTTTCTTCTTTTCTTCTGACATATCTGCAATCCTATTAACGTTCTTTATCCAGCCTTCATTTTCTTCATCACGTATTACTCATCATCTCTCTCAAACTTCATCCTCGTTCATTCTCGCTCTTCCACCTTTTCCTGGTCACTCTCTGGCAATTCATCTTTGTCCTCTTCCTGTGCACGCAGCTTCGCGACCATTAGTTTTTATCTCCCAAATGGGCTTTTAATTAAACCGGGAACCCGTTTAACCTGCGACCCTCTTCCTTCTCCGTTGTTTGTGAAGACGGCAGCACCTCCACGGAGCGTGCCTCGCTCGGATACAAGCGCAGGAAGAGAGTTAATAACCACTTTAATCTTCGAGGAAGCAAATTAATATAAAATGGAATTTATTTTGCAATGTTCTTAAGAAATTGCTCTCGTACAGGATGTCTCAGAATAAATCTTACAAATTCCAGAGCGTCGACAATGACCGCTTTCTGCCAATAACCGTCTGGGTGAAATTTCATCGAACAAAGCTGGTCACGCGCCTAATTGGTAGGCAATTCATTGTGCGCTCGTGCTGACATGTCAAGCTTCGACGCAAAGACATTTCCTGAACGAACCGAACATTTGTGCATGGTGGGTTGCCTAATGAACAGGGACACACGTCAAGTAACTTTGTTATTTATGGAATTCCCCATCACATGTTCATTGCTAAAATGTAATAATCTTTTCCACCACTACATGCTCTACGAGTTTGTAACAGTTATTGAGAGACACGTTGTAGTGTGAGCTTCAACAAAAATTACAATGTACTGTGAACACGATTGTCCGTTTTGGTAATGAACTATAGCAAATACAGTTTGTCAAAGTAATTCCTCTAAAATTCACTTTGATTACTTTAGAAAGTTTCTTTAACAAGCTAAATATTTTCACAAATTTTCATAAATCGAAACAGTTAATCTCAGAATATTTTTAAAAATGCGGCCATTCTGAATTTCAAAGCTTCTCAACTTATTAATTAATTTATCACATTAGCTTATTTTATGAAATTCTGGAAGCTCTCTTGAGTAATTAATTGGGATTTTACTATGTTTTTGGAAGCAAATTACAAAATCGATTCAAATTCATATATAAACAGAGGCAAAACATGAGACATGTTTGCTTACTTGAAGTCCCAGAAACAGAACACGTTCAAGAACGTGCCAGTGTAATTACTCTGGCACGTTACACACTCTAAGTTAGCAAAATATTATATTGCTTAGAGAGGTTCACGCATTACTAATTCGCACAGGCTAATTTCGTACCGCTCAGCACACACGTGAATCGGCTTTAGAGCCAAATGGTCACGTACATTAGTCAGAGAGTGCCCAGCGCGGAACGCACTTCGATTCTGACAGGGCGACACGACCTGGTTCAGGAGGCGTCACTAATTCATCTACCTCTAAACGTATTCGGATGTGTGTCCTGGTGGTTACTTTAATATTTATCGTAGCTCTGGTAAAGGAATAATACATTCCGAAACGTAGATAAACTAAAATATATTCCATTTTTATTACAAATATCTCAGTATAACCGGATAAATGTTATTATCTATGCTAATACTCTCACATCCCTTTTTTCTGTTACATTTATAAAAAAGACCTGCGTGCTGAAATCCCCCAAAAACCTTAAATGGGTCTTCAAGATATTATCCAAATAAAAGTTGAAAAAAAGATGTGCCGGCTGAAGAATTATTGCTAGACCAACAATTTCATGGAGTGATAACTTGTGCTAAATACGTTCGTATAAATAGTTGAATAGATGAATGAATTGAATGAAAAGAGATAGATTTGTAGCAATAATTGATGAAAACTTATTTATAGAAGAGCAATACAGAAATGAAATGCTGGCGTGATATTTTTACTACGGGCAGTCTACAACCAATTCTTTTTTGACGAGCTCTGCCATAATAGGTACGGAATCTGTGCCCGAATGGGGCACGAAAAGCTCAAGGTCTAAGCGCAGCAGATCCAGTGACAGGATTCCTGTAAGCAATTCTAGTTACGCAGGAGGACTAATTACTGAAGTATGACAAAAAAACTGAAGGTTGTAAACTTTTTTGAGACCCCTACAATCATCGTTTATATATTTTAAAAAAGTTCTCAGAATGTAATTTTAATTACAATTCATAAACAGTTACTAAAAAGAGCTTTTCTATGTTTTCTCAATCACAAAGCAAGTCACTAAATAAACTATAAAGGAGACTTATGAAAAATATCATTTAATAGTAAAAGGTAATGTCAACCATCTCATGGCGTTACCTTTCATTTGTCCTAAACACATGAAACAAATATTGACAGTATTTGTAATGTACTTATATTTTGGAGAAAATGGGATAACACACACAATAAACACAAGGTTGAGCTCATTACTCAAATATTGGTCTTTCCGAAACGAACACCGAATTACAAATATAGTTACACCTGATACACTTGATGGTCTTTGTGCAGAGAATCTTTCATGATCTGCCACGTCTAAAAGTTGTAAATATTTCACCATATTTACTCTATAACTTATATAAATTGTGAATTAAATATCATCCTTCCATATTGTGATTAGACATGAGCCATATGGATAAAACAGACCACGTTGTGCTTGGTACTTCTATCGGTGAGGCTAAAAAGAACTAGAGAAAAGTGTTTGTAAGACCTTTTCAAATGTAAGTGAGTATAATTTGTTTAACCTTCGCGCAGCAAGTTGTTCAAACATAAGAAAAATTTGAAAAAACCGAAACCAAATCCATTTTCTTTCCTGGAATGAACTCATTTCACTCATAAACGGGTGAAAACCAGAACGGTATAAGTGACATTTTATTAATTCTGAGAAAAAACTATGTATTTTAGGCTATATTTCAGTGGCAATGAATGTTCTTTGTTGTAATGAATAATATTGAAACGCCGTGGTTTTCATGATGAAACAAAGCACCACGGTTTCGCAGTAATATTGACTTAAATAAACAGATTGCTCTGAATTTATAAAATGTTACTTGTAACATTCTGGTTTTCACCCATTCATATAAATATTTTAATTCCGAGCTCAATTTTCTGAGGATTTTTGACTGTTTCGGTTTGATTTCCAGTTCTAAACAGACCTCATTCTTCTCATGGGGAGCACCTATAACTTTCGATCTCATCAGCTGAAACTGACGCAGTCCCTTCAACCCCCCGAAGAGGGTCGATAGGCCCCTGGGACGAATGCCCAGATCCGAACAGACATGTGGCAGCGTGCCTACGCGGAATTTACATATACGCACGAGTGACAAGCACATAAACTTCTGCCACTGGCTCCTCTCGCGGATCAAAGTGGCTACCAGTTTTTCGAGAGGACAGCGCGGGTGGAACTGGCGCGGGCAGGCGGGGCCGGAGCACGCGCGATGGCGACGGGTTATGCAAGAAGAACATGGAACTGGACCCTCAACTACTGGAACACTTCTGATATTAGCTTAGCCAATATCCAAAGACAAATAAATTCTACTTTGCTACTTTCTTATAAACGTTTTATTACAAAACATTTTTCAAGAATAACAACTTTCCTGGATGTTTTTCCATCACATCATCAGGTTCTCTATTATAACAAACAAACCAATTTACTTCAAATGATTTCGAAATTTTACATTCTAAAACATAAATAAATTTGTTCACATTATAAACCGCACAAACCCACATGTATTAAATATTCAAAAAGAATTGATGATAACGTGAATTTTATAAGAAAGAAGCAAGGAAGAATTTATTTACTATGCTGTCCGGATGACGCCGCGTCCATGGCGACCGAAACGTCGGCACTTTCGCCATGGACGCGGCGTCACCCGGACAGCCTATTAAATACTGACTCCGGCCGCGGAAGCCTACGCTCTCACAAGGAAGAATTTATTTGTATTTCGATATTGGCCTAAGATTATACATATTTCAAAAATAATTACAAGACAAATTGAATAAAACTACTGAAACTCCAATAATAATCTTTGATAACTGAAATTATTATTACTCAGTCATTAAAGTCATTACTCAGTCATAGAAACATAATGCATCACCTTCACGTACGGCATCAACTGATGTCCCTGCAGCGCCTATGACCGGGAGGTAATAGGGTTACACTCCACACAGTGGCAGGATTTTCGACACTAGCTTCTCCGCTCGATCAAATTCAGTCACTCTCAGTCACAACAATTGTAGTGGCCGGCTGCTCTGATCGGTATTTACACGAAGAATGTAACTTGACTGTTCTTGCATGCAAACGTATCTAAACTTCTAGCGTTTTCTCATGCACACATATTTATAGATATACGAGATATTATATTGTGAAAATGATTATTGATTTTTATACTATGCCTTAATCCTTCTATAATTCAGCAATGAATTTAGTATGTTGGGAATTCTTCTAAAATTTAGAATATAGTTTTCAACGCATACTTACTAAATAATAAATAGCTGTTATATATTTTGGATGATACCACCATTAACGTAATTCAATTGGAAATGTAAGGTAAACTATAACGTCTCCATATTAATTATCAGTGATTTGAATGAGTGATTTAACAGTTTTCATTTTTTTCTAATTCGAGAAAAAAGTTACCGGCATATGGATATTCATCAGACTTAATCCGTATTCTTCTATTCACCAATTTATTAACTATTTCAGTGTTGTTTCGTTTCTGCATGTAAAACAAACGTCAGTGGGACAATACAGTCTTATGAACATCTCACCCAACATAAAAAATACTTACAACACGTTTAAACGCAACGGGCCAGGTTTTCATGTTTTTTTTCAAATTCGTTCCTGAATAATAAGATATTTTGTTTTCAATGAAAGTTGCTTCATTAAATTCGTACTTTTACATTTCAAAATACACTCAACAGCATCCGATGTAGGAGTTCAATCCGCTTAAGGCAAGAGCTGAAAAGAGATTAAGTAGAATCTCCGGATGCGGTAACTATAAAATAAATAGAATTTTGTAAACCAGTCACTTTTCACACTACAAATAATTTAGAGAAAAATAACTAAATTGCTCATTTTAGTACTTACACAAACTGAAACTATTATTTTATAATTATTTTTTAAAAACACTTAGTGTCTGATTCTACAACTTAATGGCATATAAAGTAATAGTGTTCAGATAATTACCTCTGCTATTTTGCAATGTATATCTTGTACACGATCTAATAAGATTCCATTAGATCATGCGTGGACTAATGGCATTGGACTGCGTGGCATAATTTTTAGCGCCGTGAGGAGAAGAGGACTTATTTTCTTATTCCATGCTGCCTATTTTGTGGCATGCAAACACAAAGTTATACCAAATTTCGACATATAAAGGTAGCTGAAATCGATTAGGCAGTCAGAATTAGATTGATTGGATTGTATGGATGATACGAGGGTCGTTCTGAAAGTAATTTCTTCTATTTAATTGCATGATAACTACAGTAAATAAAAAAAGAAACTAAATACAAGATGTGAGAAAATATATTTTTAATACGTACTAATTTTTTAACATAGTCCCCCTTTCTTTGTATGCACTTTCCCACTGAAGAACTAGAGCCTGCACGCCTTGCTCGTAAAAGTCTGCACCATCCGAGGTGACCCACTGACGCACAGCTGCTTCGACAGCGCCGTTGTTCAAAAATCGACGACCCCGCAATCCATCCATAATTGGCCCGAACATATGGAAGTCTGAAGATGCCAAATCCGGACTGTATGGTGGGTGTGGTAAAACAGTCCAGTCAAATTTGGCAATTTGGTTCGTTGTTTTGAAACTGGAGTGAGGTCTGGCATTGCCGTTTGCAAGAGAAAAGTTGTTTTCTTCTCTGGCCGAACTCTTGAAAAGCGATTTTTCAGTTTGGTCAGAGCTTGAATTTATCGGTCGGAGTCTAGTGTTCGACCAGGTTCCAGGAAGTCCATAAGGATTACCCCTCTCCTATCCCAGAAGATATTGCACATGATTTTGCCCGCTGAAGACTGGGTTTTGAACTGACGGGGAATTCTTATGGCGCCATTCAATGGACAGTCTCTTGGTTTCTGGCTCATAATGATGACACCATGCCTCGTCACCAGTGATTATTCTGTCCAGAAACCCGTCATCATCAACATCGTATTGCGCCAAAAGTTCCTCAAAAAAATTCTATTCAGTGAAGTTTGCGTTCCTCTGTTAGTGCTCGCGGGACCCACCTTGCGCGCAATTTCCAGTAGCTTACTTTACTGAGCATAACTTCCAATGCATTGCAGCCAATGCTCACAGCCGCACACAATCCCCTAGTTGTGATGCGCCTATTCGCGCGAATAAGTTGCTCAAGGCGCTCCTCATTGCTTGGTGTGGCAGCTGGGCGTGGCCGAATGCAGCGTGGTTTGTCCTTCACGTCGCTGTCACCAGCCCGAAAACGCACTACCCGTCGCCGCATTGTACTCACATCCACTGTTTGCTTTCCGTAAAAGTTCAGCAAGCGTCTATGGATGTCAAGAGTCGCAATTACCTCCGAAGAAAGAAATGCAATTACGCATCTCTGTTTGCCACGCGCGTTCACGATACACGCCAATTTGGCACACTGTCACTGTGCTTCTATCTGGCAAGTGGCAACGAAATTAAAAGAAAATAGGCGGGAAGGTTTAATTTCTACTATGAGACCACAAACATTTGTTTTTGAGCTCATAAGCTCACAAAAGAAAATGGGAGGCATTACTTTTGGAACAAAATACGTATTTAAGAACTTTTGTGAATCCGCTACACGAAATTGGTAAAGCATCTTCAAATCAACATTTTCGATTTCGAGTAGAAAAAAGCCTGGGACATCACTTAATAAAACGTAATATCCGCTGTTGTATTGTAAAGTATTGTCAAAAGCACGAACTTCCATCTGATTTCGCCGATTATATGGACGATACTAGAGTTACGTCACATCACTTAATAGCCGACCAATTATCATACCGGCTGTTGAATTCAAATGAGAATAAATCACAAGCCGAAAATACCCTGATTTATCTGGGGAAATTGATAATTAATTTATAAATTACCGATACAAACTACCGGTTGTTGCGGTTTTCCATTCAATAGAGCATCAATGACGCACTAAATTATCTAGAAATAACATCAATAATACACGAGACAAAATTAAAGATGAAAATATCTTTTGATTTCTCTATGCGTGCGATATTTTTGCTTTGAATGTACATATTTTAAGAAGTAATTTATTTACAGTAAGACAATTGTAGGTTTTAATTTCTTTTTTAGAACGTTTGTTGTAAAAATTTTTAACGTCTGAAAATATTTCTGAATGATTTACAGCGGTGGAGACATTACGTTCAGCTATCAACTTTTACTTGGAAACTGCTATTCTACTTTTGCAATGGCAGCCTAGTATTTATCAATTTTTGAAAGTACAGAGAGATCACCAAAAATGGGACCTGAGACATTTTTATCAGAATACTTTGATCTGTGAGAAAAAATTACAGGGAAACATTGGAGACGTCTTTGAGAAAATCGTGTTTTTAAAATTGCATATATTCTACGAAAAACTATGCCAAATTCACTAATATTTTCGAAAACTTGTGCATAACATTATTTAAATACGTGTTTTAATATGAGAGTCATTTAGAAAAAAGTGTCCATCTTCAGTATCTAACAGTGAAAACTTTTTCTCTATCCGAGAAAGAAATCAATGTAAACAGTTGAGGACATTTTTGAGAAAATTTTGAAAATGGTACAGCTTTATGTGAATTACTACCCAAATATTTATTTCAAATTCTTAGGACCGCACGTTCAGACAGATCGATGGGGGAATATCAATTTTGGAGAAAATAATCTGAACGGTTTAGGCACTAGTGTTGATCGCAGATGGACGGAGAGACAGAGTGGAGATACAGGCAATCACACGTTTCATAACAACCAATTTTTCCTTTTTAAAGACTCGCAGAACTTGGATTCTGACTACACGACACTTTAGAGGACGTTATTTAACGCATAATAGCGCACAAGAACTATCCGTTTTGTCTATATCAAGACTCTACAATTTTTGTTTTTATGACAAAAAGTCACTTTCATTGCAGCATTACAATAATAATTATTGTTATTATTACAACAATAGGTACACAGTCGGTGATGATGTGTAGATAGTTGCAGGTTTTGTAATATAATAGGACAATATGGGCTTGTATTAAAATAGTGCCGCAATGGGGTAGTGATTATATCAATGCAAATGCTCTAAACTAAGAAAACGTGAGAACATTCACGGGAATGGGCCAGCAATTTCTCCGACGAGTGAGCAGTCCTCTAGAGAGCGATACATTTTAACCCGTGTTTTCTCGAGCTGCAAAAATTGCTCAGCGCCTCTGAAGACACAATGCAATTATTAACATACATGACACATTTAGTGGCAACTCCAAGAAGAAAAACAGTAAATGATAATGCAGAATGTTTCAGTTGTGACAAAACATAATAATGGTCAATATGAGACACCAAAACGTGTATACGGACGTACCATTTCGAATAGTTTACAAAAATCCCCATTTGTTTCCTTCCTGATTTACACAACTTGTCAGGAGTCTATATACTAGAATGTCAATAATAAATTGTTTAAATGAAATAATAACATTTTATTTAAATTTAAAGACTGAAATAATCTTAATTTTCCAATTTATATATGAAAACTATATCCCTGATTTGTTTCCGAATCACATTTACCATTACAGTTAATACATTATAATTTATTCATAAATGACTTTTTTCGACAGAATAATATTCAATCGTATTAATATTTTCTGAAAAGACGGGGGCGTAATTTGATATTGATAAACACGAGGTCGCTTCGTGACAAATTGGAATGACAAAATGTGTCGTAATTCACTCACTCGCTAACAAAATATTGTCAATCCGCGGGCATTCTCCACATTATATTTGATATAAATGAGCTCTCAAGAACTCCTCTTGACAATAAATTCCCATTTTAGAAAAAAATTCTACGAATGTTGAATGTGTGCGTGGACACAACCTCCATTTATTTTTTAGTGGCCAAGCAGTAGATATTAAAGCGGTCCCTTCTTACAGTCATTTCTCTACGTCAAACTAAAAATAAAACGAGTAAACACGTGCCTATAACAAACTAAAAAGCGAAAGTATACGCACGTGCCTATAACACACTAAAAAGCGAACGGCTACTCACGTGCCTATAACAAACTAAAAAGCGAAGCGAAGAGGTAGTCCCGTGCCTATAAGAAAGTAAAAAGCCAAGGGGTACTCACGTGAAGTCGGCGGCGGCGAAGCAGTTGCCGACGAAGGAGCACGTCATGACGTTGCACGAGTCGCCCCTGACCGGGTCGGCGCGGCCCGAGATCTCGTAGGTGATGTTGAAGCCGTACACGTCGAGCAGCTCGTCCAGCACGCGCAGGTGGTTGCCCTCGAGGCGGTCGAGGGCGAAGTCGACGACGAGCGCGGGCCGCCGGCTCCACAGCCACTTGACCAGCGTCACGTTCTGCTCGGTGACGGCATGCACCAGCGCCTCGCCCACGTGGAACGCGTCGCTCTCGTAGTAGGCGAACTCGGTGAAGGTGAGGCCGGCCGTGGCGTACAGCTGCGTCAGGTACACCACGATGGACACGTTGTGCGTGGAGATGTTGAGCGCCGACGCGTCGATCACCCACCGGCAGCGGATGGGCACCGGGAAGGGCCGCGGGAAGTTGGGCGTCTGGATCACCCCCGTGCGCTCCCTGAGGTGCCCGCCGCACCTCACCTCCTGGCGCTGCTGCTGCTGCTGGTGCGAGTGAGGCTGGCCCGGCGGCGGGTGGTGCGGCCGGTTGCTGCGGTGGTGCGTCGAAGACGCCGACGAGGAGCCGGCGGATGACGACGAGAAGGCGGAGAAGGCGGAGGAGGAGGAGGAGGAGGAGGAGGCGTACGCGGCCGGCGCGGACACCGCACCGCTGCACAGCACCAGCATCTTCAGCTCGAGTAGGTCGCAACAGCAGCAGCACAGCAGCCAGAAGAGTACGCGCGCGGCGCGCCACATGCTAGCCGGCGGTCGCAGCGACGAGGGCGCGAGGGCTGGACAGAGACAGACAGACAGACAGAGAGAGAGAGAGTGTGCGGGGGAGGCGGGCGGTCGGTGGGAGAGCTGGCTCACAGGCGCGGCGCCGAGCAGCCCTTGTTGATGACGCGGTGCAGCGCGAGTTTCCGGCGGCGAGGCTTCATGGTCCAGCTGCTTCTGCCGCACGCCGCATGGAGCGAGCGCTTCACGCCTGGGCCTTCACGCGCGCGGGTCGGCGGCCATCAGCGCCCTCCTCGCATGCTCACGCGGAGCCCGGCCCAGGCCAGCACAGCTACCTGCAACAACACAAAGCCAGTTGTTCCTGAAATATGTATATTGACAAATATGTTTACCTGTCCGGTAAAGGGAAATTGGCCTCAACACCGGTAGATCTCGGGATTCCTAGTCGGTCACCCAATCAGAAAACCGCCATGGCACGAATTCGCGTAACATTCGTGACTTCACGTCGTTAACAAATTCGACTAGCGAATCTAGGGGGTCGTGTCCTTTCAGTAGAACAATCGCTGCATTCCCTGGATGACCGAGGGAAATAGTCCATTCGATTGGGAGCTTCGTTTCGACTTGAGCTATGAAAGAGAATGTGGCGGAGATAAAAGTAAAGACAGAGACGATGCAGGGGGCGGGTTACACGAAAGTGGCGGTGATGGAGGTGCGGACGTTACGGAGATAAAAGGTATGGCGATGGAGGCGATTGTCATGGTGTTGTTGATGATGGCATTCGAAAAATATATAATGTAGGAGGACGTTATGGGTGCATTGTAAGTGATGGCAGTGACATGAAGAGCTTTGAAGATTGTTATTTAGTTAACATTAAATCCTATTACATTTATAATGAACTTCTATATTATAATTGCACATCTCCTGTTTATATATATCTATACATATCTTTTTTGAAGTAGTGAAATTTTGTAACAGCAACCTTGTTATTAACAACATTTAGACAGAGTGAAAGATAGTTTAACACACCTATACGAGACTAAATGACATTCAGAGAGGAGGAAAAATAATCGTCAGTATAAATGACGGCTCTAATGAAAAAGACATTACAAAAAGGAGACGAAGCGATCAGAAGTCGTGAGATTGCAGTTAAGTGATGTGATGATCTACGAAAAACAGAGATGCTTGACGGGGTGCAACCTGGTGGAAAAGGTGGTAGAATTCTATGATCATAAAGCTTAATTGTAGTGGTCAATATTAAGTAACGGGAACGAATCAAAGAAATAGAAAATGGAAAGTTAAGGAGTGGATATTAAATTCCAATAACGTAACAATTTCACATTCTTAGTACATAACCAACATGGTATATTTGGAAAAGAAAGTCAGATGAAAGCCTCAAAAAAGAAGCCATATAGTTCTAGAAAAAAGAGAAGCCTTACAATCAGTAAGATTCGAATACATATGGCATGTCTCTCTACCAACATGTTCACATTAAAGTACAAACGTGTGGGTAAAGCATTCTAATTAGAAGTTTCGAAAAGTGATAAGTCAGAATTATCATTTTGAACTAACCTTCATGCACACGGGATTTATAATTTAGTTAATACAATTGTAAACCCTGAATCAATAATCTCATGAAACACTACATGTATCTAAGATCATTGGTTTCTTCGACCCGTAAAGAAGAATTGAAAGAAATCCCACGAAGCAAATCTAACATTATCACTGCAGAACGTCAGCTGTTTATTATTGTGTTAATCCTGTCGACAAAACACCAATTCGCCGTAGCAACACATCAACAAGTTCACATGTTAACAAGGCATGACTCCGCTGAACGTGGAGACCCACTAACCACATTAAATGATGAAGTTGAGCCGTAAAAATTATTCACAATGCTAGATCTATTTCAGCTGTTAAAATATGAAAACATTTCGTACCGTTTTCAGCATCAAATGTGGGTGAAATGTTTTAGTCTTAAGTAGCTTACTATCATTTTCAGTTTGTGTTATTCATTTGTTTTGTTATCGTTCATTTATTTAAGTTGCTTTATAATTGCTGTGGACACGATCGACCACTGTTATATTCAGAGATTTTCATGAATTTACTGTTATTATTTATAGTACATATCTGTTGTGCAAGGATTAAACAGAAACATGAAATCACTTTACCTTTAATAAATACGAAATATATACATTTTTGGATAGGCACATTTAAAAAAATTCAGAGTGAAAATACCCTTTAAGACCGTGAAGTTAGTTAATCCTGGTTGATTGTAATAATCTTTGATTTTAGTCACACAATTCCCTTGTTCTTAATAAATAAGGAGGTCAGAGTTAACTCGACGTACTGTCGTTTCTCTTGCAGTGCTCGGACACTCAAAAATATGATGGCTGGTTGTCTCTTGTGTTTCTCACTTGGAACCTGTCTCCAAATCAGTTCTTTTAAAAATAGGTTACCATGACTTACTTTAAAGTGGCTGATTTACAATCTGGAGGCGATGACTTGCTTGCTTTTACCCTCCAATTTTTTTCTTACATAAGTTCATTAACATACATAGTTCGTTAACAGTTTTTATGATGAGGTGGATTTTTAATGGTTTTGCTTCCCATAGTAAGTCCCTGTTTTTTGGTATTTCTTATGTTGAAGAGCTTCTTAATGACTTGTAAGGAATTTCGTTTCCTTACAGTTTATACACTTTAATTGGCGTTAGGTGGGTCACTTCAGCCCTGAACTTCTGTGCGTTGAGAAAGGTCTCATTTGCATCAAACAACTACGTGATATTTCTACGCAAGATTAATCTAAAGATAAAATAATTCGTTTTAACTTGAAAGTCAAGAACTTGTGACTACAGTTTCTTAGTTTGTAAATTGTATGAATTTAATTCGTATAATTTTCCTACATATACGAATATCCAACGTATCATATCGTATATGTGTCCAACTTTTACAATTACATTAAAATTATCAATGAATCAATTAAATTTAATTATTAAATATACTGTGTATTTGTGTTGTATATTTCAGCTTTCAAACGCATCGAAGCATAGATAAGCAACAGATGACTTTGAAACTAAAGTAAACTGATGTGCATTCTCAGTAGCATGTGATAGTTGTTCCAGGTGCAGAAGAAAAGCGTTTCTTTACTAAACTGAAGACATACATTTAAAAATTAGAATATTTCCCAATTGTAAAAAATTACGTGTGATGTATCCCCCGACATCTAGCATGATGCTACTGGCATATTGCTACTGGTCACAAAATTAACGGGTACGCTCAAATTTAAACAAAATGAGAATATTTAGTTTTTGGAACAGAATTACAATATTCGAGATGTCACCTTTCTTTTGTGTCGACTGTAATATCAGTGATTGCGCTGGAAACACCTCTTCACTAAGGAGCGTTAACGCTTTTTTAACTCTGTGGAATGTAAAATGCGACTGAGTGCCCATAGCGGCAGAGGTGAAACCTATAAGGCCTATTCTTCCGACTGACCATGCAAATTTCGCTACGCTCTTTTGACCATCTAGCGGAGAAAAAAGTATCAAGCAGACGAAGAAAGAAGAGATTTATATTTATCTCAGAGACTTCTTATAGGCTTGTTTATCTTTACATAAGTAAATCTACAACATGGGACAGTCGCCTTCACTTTCCCTCCGAAGGAAGATGTACGAAGGACATTTTTCGCCCATAAGAATTGCTTCGATAGGATTTGAACCCCCAAACCTTGGCCTAACTCGTGAGTGGTGATACCTTTCCCCTATCTCTCAGCGCGGCACCAAAAACTCTCAAAATCGTCTTGCTGTAGCGCACTTTTTCTACAAAGAGGGTTGTTTTGTGGTGGCACGCAACAAACGAAAACTCGCATTTCGGTTGTTATTTAAAATTGATATGTGGAAAGCATTTAAGAATTTAACGGAATTGTAAATTGATGTACATTAATCAATTATCACATATGAAAAGCTTTTAAATAAATTCAGCGCCAGCTAACCCCGTTTCAGCGGCCCGATGAGCTTGCGAGGCACTGAGTGGAGTGCGCCGAACAAACGTGGACACAGATGGAACGTGGTGGGCGACATCCTTCTTGCCTGCCACCCGTCTCGCTCCACGCCAAGGATCTGTGCTCCCAAAACGCGTCGTAGCAGTGGTGCGAGCGAGTCAAGAGATAATCTGACCAACAGCCTACCCGAGGACACAGCGACTGGCATCCTTTAAACCCCTGTGGATAGCGTGATCGATCGATAAATATATTGATTGATTAATTCGGTTGATTGATATGTCCGGCTGCTTGAACGGCATTGGTCATTAGCTCCATTATGTAAAAAAGATTTAAACCGGAGAGTGGCGGTGTTCCTACTTGAATCCACCTACATGGCAGCTCGCCTCTCTAGATATCTCCTTCAGCAGGGCTCAGCTCCAGCCGGCAAAATCACTAAGCTCCCGACTCGCCTTCCGGCATGTGACGTAGTGCAGAACATTTAGGCAAATGTGTGCAAGTATGAATGATATGATAGGACAAGTATGATATGAAAGGAATAGGAAGAATTGATCGTGAGTGGACTGTGGCCCGTTTGTTAGGGTACTGCTCCGGCGTTCGGCTGGTGTCGATCGAAGAAATCACGGAAAACTACCGTATAGAGCAGCCGGACGAAAGAATTCTCCTCCAGACGTTGCTCGAACCGAGCTATTGCTGTATGTCGAAATTCTTGGCCCCTTCAGTATTCTGAACTCTAGGACCTCCCACTCAAGGGCACTGCAGTGACATCAGTCGATACCCTGAGACCCCTTTCCCGGTATACACTATCGGACGACTCGCCGCCGTAGAGATTTAACTTGCCTTTCGGAGATCATTTTCTAACAAAATGAGAGTTTGACAGCAAAACAGCGCCGCCAAGGAAGCAAATTCGCCGGCAACACAGCTTAGCGCTGTCCAGTCAGCCAAGCCCAATGAGTTAAACAGGTAACTAGGTTAAGCGGTAGAGTGACTCTAATTCTCCGTTGGAGGCTTTTCAGCGGGTGGAGCGCTGGTCAGTCGCCGTCCAGCGAGTGGACTCGAAACAATC